AACCCCCCCCCTTTTTTTTTTACTTTTTAAAACCATTCTGGCAAATTTCACAAATACGTGTACAGTTACCTAAGTGTAAAGAATTTTTTTATCTGGAAAATTTCTCTGTATGAACTTGTATTGCTAATAGTATGACTGTATCTTTTCTGGCGTCGACGCTTCTTCCTCCTTTTCCTCTCTCGATGGTTCCCTTGGTGCCCTGCGCATCCCAGACAGTGACCGTTAAGGCAGAATAAAAAGTGGGATTTAATGTGGTTGACGGCAGGATTGGCTGCCTGGCGTGAGTGTTTTCAGGTGTCATCCAAGCCGCTTTGCCTGGGACACCAGTCACCTGGTCCCGGCGAAGAAGGCTGGAGACGAAACCATGTGAAGAACCGTTGCAGGATTTGGGTCTGGCTAGTCTAGAGAAAAGAAGAATTAGGGGTGACATGATAGCAGCATTCCAGTATTTGAGGGGCTGCCCCAAAGAAGAGTTGGGGGTCAGTTTATTCTCCAAAGCCCCTGAAGGCAGGACAAGAAACGACAGGTGGAGAGAAGCAACCTGGAATTAAGGAGGAATTTCCTCACAGGGAGGACAATTAACCAGGGGAAGGGCTTCCCTCCAGAAATCGTGGCTGCTCCATCGCCGGAGGCTTTTAAGAAGAGACTGGACAGCCGCTTGTCTGAGGGGGCCTAGGGCAGGGCTGTCGGAATCGAGGCCCCTGAGCTGGATCTGGCCCGCAGGCTGGCCTGGAACTATCAAAGGACTGGTCCACGGTGCCCCTTGGCACTAACACTGGCTACGTGAACCCCCCACCCACCCAGTCCACACCTCATTTTCACCCTCCATGGCTTCCTGCAGCACTCTGCCAGCTGAAAAAGGCCCCCAAAATGCAGCCTGTTTGTGCTGCAGGAGGCCATGTGGGGGAGGCCTCAGCGCCCCATGAGGGGGGGCATCCGTCCTGCCCTCCCCACCTGCCAGTGGCAGCCGGCAGAGAACTAAAATGCCGGTCTGGCCCTTGAAGAAATCCAGTTTGACACCCCGGTATAAGGTTGTCTGCTTAAGCAGCGGGCTGGACTAGAAGACCTCCAAGGCCCCTTCCAGCTGCGTTCTAAGGTGCCCGTGGAGCCCGCCCAAGGAAGGCTCAGGGTCCCAGCCACCCAGGGGTTAATCTCTGCTCTTCCCCCCCCCCAGCCCTCTTTTGGCCAGTAAGATGGGAAGGCTGTGAGGTGGGTGACAATTCAAAGCAGCTGCGGAGTTGGAGCACCAGTGGCCTGCCTCCCTCCCTCCCTCCCAATGTGGGCTGCCCTCCCCGGGTCCGGGGGGGAGACAGGGTAGTCCCAGTGCTGAGGCAGGGGCTTTCTACCCCACCCCGTTTCCTCCTGAGAAAAGCAGACGTGTTTGGGGCCTTTAAACACGGAAGGCGAGGGCAAGCTGCCCCTCCCCTTGCAGATGGCGGGAGGGTGACGGGGGCCCTTCGGCCAGGCTGAGCCTCCAGACCTGCAGGAGAAAAGGATCCAGGAGCCCAGCTGGGGAGGCGAAGGAATCGGCGGGATGCAGAGCCACCCACCTGCGGCTCCCTGCCCATCCCGACCAGAACACCTGGCCGCTTTTGTGGGTCTTTTGAAAGTGACCCCAGAGCTGATTCTCTGGTTAAGGAAATGGGAATACAGAGGGAAAAGTGGACAGGAACCCCCAGGTAGCCTTCGGCTGCCAGGCGGTCACAGGTGCCCCTACAAGGGGTTGGCAGGTGTTTCCGGTTGCTGTTTCTGGTCCCTGCGGCCCTGGGACTCTCTCAGGGGGTCTCCCATCCAGGCCCTGGCAAGGCCCAGCCCTGCCCAGCTTTCCAGAGAGCTGCGGTTTCAGAAAGGCAACCAAGCAGCCCGTGTTGCTCAGCTACAACCATCGGAGGAGGAGGAGGAGGAGGGGAGAGCTGGTTGCCCGCGGCAGGACCGCCTGCGTGGAAGGAAAAGGAAAAGGAAGCAAGGCCACGCCCCAAAAACTGGTTAGATGCCACGACGTAAGTGGCAGCGCCTTAACCATATGCGTGTTGCAAAGACCACAAGGGCCTCTTCCATCCTTATCAAGGGGAGTGCTAACCTTCTCTCCTTTCATACAACACGTGCAAGAATACTACTCCACGGTTATTTAAACCTCTGAGACAGGTAGACTTCCAGGTTACGGTAAGAAAAGTGAGACGTAGGCAAGGAGGTTCGGCCGTTTTAGATGTTTCCTAATGTTATGTGATCAATCTAGAGCATATCTTCGGTGTAACATAGCTAGTAAATCGAAGGCAATAGGATTCTGTTCCCGTCAATGACTATTTTCCCATGCAGCCCGCGATAATATATGCACGAGTTTATCCAATCGGGAGGCAAAGCGCGTCTTCGCTTGGCCTCTTTGGCAAGATGTTGATTGACTCGGGGACGAAGCCTCGCGATAAGAGAAATCACGGCCGAGGGAAAAGACCGACGTCCTCGGGCCCGCAGCGTCGGTTTCACCTGCCCTTTTCCAAGATGGTGGCCGAGGGGAACGTAGGGCGCCAGGAACCCCGAGTTCGAGTCCCACCGCGCTACTTCCACCCCCCCGCCCCCGGCCTCGGTCACAGGAGCTGCTTCGACCCCCGTTCCGGGGCTGCTCCGGAAAGAGACTTGGGGTCCAGGCAAGGGGGGGGGAGTTGGGGGACCCCGGCCTACATCCAATCCAACGTGGCCCCTGAAGGTGGTCTGGGGTCGCTGACTGCCTCGGGGAGGATGCCAGGCGGGCGGGGGAAAGGCGACCCCGGGGGGGGGGGGGGGTCCCGTCTACCGAACAGGGGCAGCAGCTCTCGGACTGGCACCGCCCCAATGGAGGGGCCCGGCTGCACCTCGCCAAGGGGGGTCCTGCTTAGCGACCCCCGACCACCCTTCCAGCTCTCTCGGGTGGGCTTCGGTCTTTCTGGGCCGGAGGGGTGATGGGCAGAGCCCCATCCACTTTGATCCAAATGGCTCCTTCCTGTCCGCGACCCTCCTCCCCTGCTCTGCTGCCCCCCGTGCCCCCCCCAGTTCGCTTCTCCCCCCCGCCCACCGCGCCAAGGAGGGCAGACCTGCTTACGCTGCCGGAATCCGAGAACCGGACGGGCCCCTTAGGGTCCATCTGGCCCACCCTCCCTCTGCGCAGGGCAGAGGATTCTGGGCGGCTTCCCACTGGGACCCGCGCTATTCCCCGCCCCAGCAGCATCCGACCCTCGGCAAAGGGCGCCCCTTCACCTGCCCGCATTTGGGCGGGGGGTCCTCCCGCATGGCTCCTGCCCGGCTAGGCAACACGGGGGCGGGGGGGGGGCGGCGGCCGGGTTCTGCATTTCAGTCCCGGGCCGAGTCTCGGCGGTCTCGTTCAGCGTTGCTTCGAGGCGATCTTCGGGCAACCCCGGCCAGGGTCCGAGCAAGGGAGTCCCGAAAATGCACCCCGAGATCGGCTTTGCCTTTTTAGCCGCTCCGCACCCCACTCCTGGCTCCCACCCACTCCGGAGCCTCCACCCGGGCACAGGTAGCCCCAAAGAAGTCAAGGCTGGAGCCACTACGGGGCTCCGATCGTTTCCGACCCATAAGAAACCGAACCCCCGCGCCGCCTCTTTCAGCGGGACCCTGCAGCTGCCGCGGCTCTCCTTCCTCCTCTTCCTCCTGGGCTCCGCTTGCTTAAGCCCCAGGCCAGTCCCGAGGTCTCCTGGCCGTGGCTGGACTGGGGCTGCTTTCCTGGCCCGCTACCTGCCCTCCCCGCCCAGCTGCTTGGCCCCCCACCGAAGGGGCCCCCGTTGGCCCCGCCAAGGCGGCCCTGCGGCTCTTCGCATGCCCTCCGTTGAGGAACGTAGAGCACTTAGACTTATATACCGCTTCACAGTGCTTTGTAGCCCTCTCGAAGTGGCGTCAACCATCCGGGTCCTCGTTTTACTGTTCTGAGAAAAACGGGAGTCTGAGTCAACCTGGAGCTGGTCAGGATCGAACTTCTGGCTCCGTGGGCAGAGCCAGCCTGCACCGCTGCCTTCTGACAAGGGAGGGAAGAGGAAAGGAAGGGAGACATATACACCGCCCCACTGGGATTTCCAGCCCTCCGGAGCGGTTTGCAGAGTCAGCCGCTTCTTCCCAACAATCCGGGTCCTCTGATTGTTGACAGTACGTTGGTTGGTCCTAATCTGGGTTTAGTTCAAAAAGTGGCAGGTTATTAAGGAAGCCAACGTGTAACCCTTGTTTCATTCCGGTAATAAATTATTTTCCAATATTGCTAAGCTTTTTTTTTTTTTTTAAAAAAAAGCCTCATATATTTGAACGAATTATCTGGCCTTCGGGTCGTCCCTCCCTTTTCTGCCCCCTCCACTCTTTGAATGTCACCGTTTCAGGCTTCAAACTCGCCTTCTTTCTGCCCGGCATTCAACGCAAGGGAATTTATTTATTTTATTATTATTATTTGGGGCGGGGGGGTTCTCCTGTTCGTGAAAGGCGAGCGGAGAGCTTAATAAAGAAAAGCAGCTTCCTCCATTCTAATCCAACTAGGGGATTTCGCAGGGGATTTCGAATTAAACCTTGATTAAAGAGATGCCTTTCCATCAGCTGCTGCACAGCTGTATTAGCCGAGAATTATCGCGGGAAGGAGGACAGGAACAGCTGGGCTGAAACGCCGCCTCTCACCCACCCACCCCCGGGCTCGGCTCCGGACGCCGGAGGGTCTCTCGTGGCGACCGAGAGAAGCGGGAGGCTGCTCATTCCCAGCCCGGCTTCCCCGCGCGGGCTTTTGAGCCTCGGTCCCCCCGCGGGGACTCCAGCCCGGCCGCTCTTCCCCGCGGATGCTTCGCCCCATGGCTGGGCTCGGCGGGACCGGCTTCGCTGCCGGCGGGACCCTCCGCCTCCTGACCGGATCCTTCCTCTTGGCTACCAGTAAGTACCGGGGGGGTCGGTGGGGGTCTGTCCCGTCCCTCAAGTCGGGCTGGCGTGCTCCGCTGCCCGGCCGCTCCTCGCCACCTTCGGGGGCATCTCGGGAGAACCGCCCGATCTGGAATTGCAGAAGCCGGGACTCCCTCTCCGGGCGGTGGGGGGTGGGGGTCACTTTTTCCCCGTGGTCCCTTCCCACCCCCCTCCCCCTCCAGCCGCGACTCTGCAGCTTCCCGCGGCTGCACTCAAACCCCGGGCCGGTGGTCCCAAGGCCGGGAGAGCTCGGCTGACCCGGGGGAAGCCAGCAGCGCCCCGAGATCAGCAGGTCGAGCCTTGTTCGTCCAGGTCGTCCCGAGCTACCGCTGGGGGGGAGGGGGTGTTCCCCCCCCCCCCCGCGGGTGGCCGGAGGGTCCTGGACGGGGTTCCTTTTTTTGAGCTCCCACCCACCCCCCAGGCTCCAGGTTCCTCTGCCCGAGAAGACCAGCCCTGCACAAGCCCCCAGCTGAGGTCGGCCTCTTCTTCTGGGGCTGCAGGACTGGCAGTTCCCCCCACGGACCCCGAAGACTCCACGGGCTGCACCCGAAGAGCAGCGTTGGCCCCGGTCCTTAAGGGGGGGAGGGGAGACCCTTCTGGCCCTTTCAAACTCTGGAAAACCGGTTTCAGCTCCTCCTCCAACTGCCTGGCAGCCAGAAATTCATGCCACCTTTGCTCAATCGGATTGAGACCCCGGTGAGGTTCTCTTGCACAATGTGCTGCCCAGAAGGATCCATCCACCAGCAGCATTGAGGGGCCTGGAGGCTCAAATATAGGATGAAGGGTTGCAGGAACCGGGCCTGGCTAGTCTAGGGAAGAGAAGGACCAGGGGAGACAGGAGAGGAGCCTTCCAGTATTTGAGGGGCTGCTACAGTGACAAATGGGTCAAGCTATGTTCTAAAGCATAAGGAATAATGGATGGAAACTGAACAAAGAGAGAATAAACTAGAACTAAGGAGAAATTTTCTGACAGTGAGAACAATCAACCTGTGGAACCAATTGCCTACAGAAATTGTGGGTGCTCCAACACTGGAGGTTTTCAAGAAGAGATTGGACACCCGCTGGTCAAGGATGCAATAAACAACCCCCTGACCAAGACCTACTAGAACAGCAGTCGCCAACCAGTGGGCCGCGGGCCACTGGTGGGCCTTGAGAAAATTTTGGTGGGCCGCAGAGAAATCCCCAGAGCACCTCCCCAAAGCAATTAATCCAGGCTATGCAGAAGCACAAGGCTGCGCTGCCCACGTGGCCCGCAGGAACCCTCCCCACCCACTCATTCCTTACCTGGCAAACTTGCTTGCTAAAATTGCTATTTTTCCTTTTTCCGACCATCATTTGTTCTCCTGTGCCGGGAGATTTAGATTAGCTAGGAAGCAGGAAATGGTTGGATTTCTTGCTTTCTAGCTAGTATTTAGATCTTCGCCTCTGCTTTTAAGCACAGCCGAATCTCCCTTAGGACTGAAGGTTTGCTTGCAAGCAAATTCAGTGCAGACTCAGGGCAAGCAAATTTGAGAGACTGAGCTAACCAATGGCAGATAGATAGATCACTGAATGATTCTGTGAACAACTCAATCTGCCTGCTTTGCCTGATTTTGGGTAAAAATTGCTTTTTTTAGAAAAAAAATTCAATATTTACGTACATGGTGTGTTGTGAGTTAATTTTGTGAGTTTGCAAGCAAAATTTATGTGTCAGACTGAGCTAGCCAATGGCAGATAGATAGATTTCTGAATGAATCTGTGATTCTGTGAGCAACTCAATCTGCCTGCCTGCTTTGCCTGATTTTGGGTAAAAGTTGCTCTTTTTTATAAAAAATTCAATATTTATATAAATATTTATAATATTTACATACAAGCCATGCCCAGCCAGTCACATGACCACCAAACCACACCCACAAATTAGGCCACGCCCACAGAACCGGTTAGTGGTCCCTGGGATTTAAAATTATGAGTTTGGTGGTCCCTGAGATTCAAAAGGTTGGTGACCCCAGACTAGACCACCTCCCACGTCCCTCCCAGGCCCTATGATTCTATGAATCCTGATGGCATTCATCGGGTTACTGAGCAGGTGGGCTTGCCCTAAATGCTGCTATCACTTTTCTCCCCATATAACTCCCTTTAAATAATAGTTTATATGAATAGTTTACTATCATTTACCATTCATAAGGTATACTGTCTCACATATTTACACACGATCATTTATTCAATAGCTTTCTTTTTTATACACTATTACTATATAGTTGTACTGTAGTTTATCTGCAGCATTGCAATCTAATATCCAGGTTGTTTGAAATGTATTGATTATGAGGTTTTTAAAGAAAACAATGAAATTGTATTTTCTTAAAATAACAGTTCAACTAAAAGCCATATTTCTCATGGGGATCGCTTCTGGGCTGCACATGCCAGGGAAGGTGGGGGGGGAATGAACAATGAAATGGCCACTTGCAGAACACGGAATCTGACAGGGCTCTTCCAGTGCCACATTTAACCCCCTGGACAATGCAAAAGATTGGGCAGCCATTAGGAATCAGGTCTCCTGTGTTGGGCAGGAATTGGACTAGATACAAGGGTCTCCAACCTTGGCAACTTTAAGCCTGGCAGACTTCAAGCTTTGCTGGCTGGGGAATTCTGGGAGTAGAAGTCCTCCAGACTTAAAGTTGCCAAGGTTGGAGCCAAGAATCTGGAACCTCCAGATTCTAAAAGCTCCCATCCTAGAACAGCTAGAACAGAAGGACCACCGTTCTTGCAGGAGTGAATTTCCCTCACACCCCACTGTATTCCCGCTTTCAGCCTCCGGGCTCCAGTGCTACAGCTGCAATGTGATCGTGGGCAGCCGGTCGGTCAACACCGGTTGCTCCAGTCCAGAAGTGGTCACCTGCCCCCATTCCCACCAGGGGTTCAAGCACCGATTCTGCATCAAGATGGAAAGCGGTGAGTTGGCAGCCTTCCCCTTTGCTCCTTCCACAGCTCTGGGCAAGCGGATGGGAGAGATGGGGGGCGGTCAACAGAGGGCCTGTTTGGGGCGTAAAGGCCACAAATACCGAGCAAGATGCATGTCCTCCCTGACTCTCTTGGTCAAAGGGGAGCAAAGGTCCCTCCGGGTGGAGCCTGATTCTGCTGGGGATCCTCCCAGGATGAAGGCATGAAGGTAACTCGCTATGACTTTCTCCGGAGATCCTTCTCCCTCTCTAGCCTGGTGGCCCCCCGTCCCTCACTCATCAGCACAACTGGCAGGCTGTGATGACCTGGGACGTGGCACAAAAATAACAGTCACCAAAGTAGATTAATTCCCTTTAATGCCTCCAACTTGGCCCCCAATGTCCAGTTATCCTTGGCTGGAGATCAAACTCGTCCAAAAACAGTCTACGAAGGGAAGAAATGCAGTCCGAACCCAAAGTACAGATAAAGTAGAAATAAAAACAACACAAACCACGCTGAAGTAATTAACATGACAGGCCAGGATGATCAATTGCAGACTTCCAAAAGATAACACAACACCCACAGGTGGGAGGACACCAAAACAAAACAAACAAGCCTTGGCAAAGATAATGCATGCTTTGCTTCCAGCAACTTTGCCATTCGCAGTTTGCCCTTTTACAGTCTTCCCAGCTGCAGCCCATGAAGGGGATCAGGGCCCTTTCCTCCCCTATAAACCACATTGCTCCCTTATCCGTTCCTCCCTGCATGCCCTAGGATGAAGAGGGGGTGGGCCTGGGTCTTCCTCAGAATGCCCAGCTGGCCTGTGCCCTTCCCCAGTTTCCTCCACAGCCACCAGAGCCACATTCCCACTCCCTGTCAGCTGTGCCCCCTCTCCCTCGGAATCAGATTCCAGCTGGGGTATGACAGAGGCCAGGGTGGCAGGAGCAGAGGTGGGAGACAGCAGGCCAGGTCTGGGGATGGCAAGAGTTGCAGTTCAACTTCACCCGTGATGCTGGGAGAATTCCCTGCCAAGCCCTCAAGACGGGAAAAGGGCGGGCTGTCCTGGGAGACACCGCCCCCCATGGACGCCCCTACTGCAATCACAAGCAGGGAGGGGCCAAGAGGACAGGACAGGCCTCCTGAGGCAGACGAGCCGCCCATTCCTGGCCTCTCCCTGTCCGGGGACATGATGGTGGGCAGCCCAAAGGATTTCCTGGGAATCCTGAGCTGTAGCTGGTGAAAAGTGGGTCAGTGGTGCCACTTTGGCCTCTGCAGCTTCAGGAAGGGCACAGCTGCTCCCACCCACCCCACTGCCTGTTCTGTAGTGAGGGACGCCCCCCAGCAGAACATTGCACCTACTGGAAGCAAAACTGTCATCATCATCAGCTGGTCCTCCCGGTGTTCTGACCCAAACCTTGTTCCAAGGAAACAAACACAAAATGGAGGTAACAGCAAAACCTTTTAATGATTCTTTACGAATTCTGTTCATTCCTGGTTAAAAGGCTGTTTCAAACTAATTCGCTCCGATAAGAACAAGCCTTGCCAAGGTTGTGCAAGGCTGCCAAGAACACTAGATAAAGTGACTAAGAAATATTTCAAACACAAAGGGTCTCCAAACACCAACCAAGATATTCCGAACTTCCACAAGGGAAGTGCAAAAACTTCTTTGCTTCCTGCAAAGAACTCCGGTTTCTCAGCTGGCTTTTATCTCTTAAGGGAAGGGCCATTTGCTTGCAGCCTTACTCCCGAATCGCCTGTGTTGCTGCAGCTGCTCTTTCCTTCGAGCAGCCCTGCACACACTTGGCACAGGCTCCTCGGGGTGCTCTTCCTCACTGCTGCCAGCCTCCACCATCTCCAAAGGCAGCACTCCACTCCCTGATGGTCCTGGCCCCATCCCTGCCTCCCATGCAGGCCCCTCACCTGAGTCCTCGCTCTCTGAGACCTCAGCCGTCCACACTTGCTGCCGGCAAACCACAACACCTGGTTGCAATGTCAAATTCACACCTGAAGTCCCAGGAGAAGCTCATTTTTCCTCTATTTGGGGAGGGACGGGACAGGTGAAATCTTTCTTATGGCTGGATGGTCTCAAGCCAGGGGGTGCGCTTCACAAGAGCTGGCCCTGCAACCCAAGAGCCAAAGTCCCAGAGAGGCTGTCGGTGCAGCTGGCGTTTGGCCTGCCAGACACGAGGGTGACTCCTTGTCCTTCTCTGTCTTTGGCAGCGGTGCTGGGGGTCCTTTTGACCAGCGGATGTGCCACCTCCCGTCACTGCCAGCAGCAGGAGCTGCCAGGGATCCGGATCCACTGCTGCAACAGAGACCTTTGCAATGGGTCCCCTGCTTCCTCCTCCTGTCCCCTCTGCTACCTGCTGATCCTGGGGACGCTCCTGCTTACCTTCCTCCTATGAAGCAGATCTCAGAAGACCCAAAGGAGCCCGGAGGCCTTCCTCCTCTCTCAGCCTTCTGGGTCCCCTGGAGGCCATCGGAGGAGGCGGCTTCCTTGGCATTCGCATTCCCTGAGTTTTGTAAGAACTGGCAAGTCTAAATAAAGCACGCTGAGAAATTGCTTTCGGACGTGATGCCGTTTCTCCCTGGTCTGCGTCCATCTGGCCGCATCCCTTTTCCAGCTTCTCCAAAGTTCCTCATGCAAAGGCCACGGAGCCTCCCCTCCTGAGGCCGGCCACCTCAACCTGGGTTTGCTCTCTGGGTAGAAGATAAACTGTCCCCCATTTTGTGGGTTTGTGAGTTGATGTTGACTCTGGGCGACGGCAAGAATTTAGAAGCGGCTTGCCATTGCCTGTCTTGTAGGGCTGAGAGAGGGGGGCTGGCCCTAAGGCATCCCCCTGGCTTCATGCCTAGGGCAGGTCTAGAACCCACACTCTCACATTTTCCAGCCTGGTGCATCAAACTGGCTCTTGAGATACATTTACCTGGGCTTAGGTATTATAGCAATACCCCTTAGACTTATACACCGCTTCACAGTGCTTTTACAGCCCTCTCTAAGCACTTTACAGAGTCGGCCTCTTGCCTTCAACAATCTGGGTCCTCATTTTACCCACCTCAGAAGGATGGAAGGCTGAGTCAACCTGGAGCCAGTCAGGATCAAACTCCTGGTAGTGGGAAGACTTGGACCGCAATGCTGTATTCTAACCACTGTGCAGGCAGGCAGGCAGGCAGGCAGGCAGGCAGGCAGGAAGGAAGGAAGGAAGGAAGGAAGGAAGGAAGGATAGCCCTTAGACTTATATACCACTTCACAGTGCTTTACAGCCCTCTCCAAACAGAATCAGCCTCTTGCCCCTAACAATCTGGGTCTTATTTTACACATCTTGGAAGGACGGAAGGCTGAGTCAACCTTGAGCCAGTCAGGATCAAACTTCTGGCAGTGGGCAGTTAAGGAAGGAAGGAAGGAAGGAAGGAAGGAAGGAAGGAAGGAAGGAAGGAAGGAAGGAAGGAAGGAAGGAAGGACAATAGCAATAGGGTTAAATCAATTTCACTGTGCTTTACAGACCGACAGACCGACAGACACATAGAGGGTAGAGCAATAACAATGGGATTTATATTCCGCTTCACAGCCCCCTCTAAGCGGTTTCCAGAGCCAGCCTCTTGCCCCCAACAATCTGGGTCCTCATTTGACCCACCTCGGGAGGACGGGAGGCTGAGTCAACCTGGAGCCTGGTGAGATTTGAACTGCCAAAATTGCAGGCAGCCGAAGGAGCCTGCAGTCCTGCACTCTGACCAGTGCGCCATCGTGGCTCATTATAGGAGGAAGAGCAGCAAATCAGAATTTAGTGCAGGAATCCTCTGACAACCCCATTTGCAGAGGTCAAGAGGCACCTGCTCTCGTTGGGAGCAGCTCTTGCTCAGATTCTTCCTGACGCCCACGGAGAGCTCATTTCGGGTCATTCCCAGTGCTGCTCCTTTGCCCGCCTCCCGATGAACGCCCCTGACAAACTCTGCTCTGGGCGGGAGAGCGGGCAGCTGGAGGCCTTCCCTGGTCACCTTTCCTCCCCCCTCCTGCCAGACAGAATCTGCGCTCGGTTCCCCAGGGGAGATGTGGCCAGCCCTTCTTCAGGACTGGAGCCGTTCTGCCGGCACCTGTGAGACCCCGAGGAACATCCTGCACTCCACCCGGGGATGCCAGCGCTCCCTTTTGCAAAGGCTGTTTACCCTCCATCAGCCAATCAGGCAGGGGATTCCCCCTCCTCCGTTTGCACAGAGGCACGCTTGCACACTCTGGCCTCACGGTGTCACTGCTGCTCGTGCAAGAGGAGAGGCACGCCCTGATGCCCGAGGCCTCTTCTGGCAAGGGGCCTGGGAGGAGAGAGAAGCCGGGGTCTCCCCTGCTTTCTGCTCTGCACTATCCAAGGGCTGCTGGCTGGCTGGCTGGCTGGCAATTTTATCAGTTGCCACCCCTCCCTTCTCCCAGACTTCCAAAGGGAAACTCTGCCAATGTACGTTGTGGGAAATGGGTGAGAAACAGCCATCTCAGTGGCCTGGTGGCGCAGGAGAACAGAAAAGGGGGGGGGGGGGGGAAGCAGCAGGCTCTCTAGGGCAGCCAGCCAAGGTCTTCAGAAGATGCCAGGGCTTTTAACCGCTGCGCCAGGCTCACCCACTTCCTTCCCTGCATTCAGGGGAAGCCCTGGGCCTCCAAAACTCCCTCCCCCACCCCACAAAGCCAGTGGCCAAACTGCTCTTCTTTGGTTTCCTTGGTGTAACTCAGAGGTGGTATTTCAGCCGGTTCTGACCAGTTCTGGAGAACCGGTGGCAGAAATTTTGAGTGGTTCGGAGAACTGACCAATGCCACCTCCAACTGGCTCCGCCCCATCTATTCTCCGCCTCCTGAGTCCTGGCTGATTGGCTGAGTCTTCTTTGGTTGCCCTCCACAGGAGAATGGAGCTGGAAAGCAGGTTAATGGGGGAGGGGGAGATATGGGGATTTTGCAGTATATCCTTCCCTTGCCACGCCCACCAAGCCACACCCATAAAACCGGTAGTAAAAAACTTGAATCCCACCACTGGAGTAACTCCTGGTAAACTCTTGGCCCCCGCCTGCAGTCCAGACTCGGGCTTTCCTCTCACCCGAGGGCTGGCCTCCCCCTTCTCCTGGTCAGGAGCTCCTCAGAGGTGGGGAAAAGGGGGGCTTGGCTTCAACTCCTCCAAAAAGCCAAAGCCCCATTTATCTGCCTGGAAGAAATTTGTGGAGCTACTTCCTGCAAGATCGGCGTTTCAGTGTACACCTGCGCTCCCATTCACAGAATCTTGTGGGTCTCTGCACAACTATACACCCCCCCCCCGCAGACACACACTACAGGAAGCCATGGAAAGGCAGTCCCAGACAATTCTCTTCCTGGTGCTTTTGATGGGGCTCCAGGGCTTCTGCCCCACCACAGACTTTGCTCCCATTCTATGTCTGGAGGGGCTTCTGTTGGCTTCTCAGGGCAGGAGACCCTGAGGCAGGGGGAGCCTAGAGGGGGCCGGCTCAGGTGGGGAGGGGGGTCCCCTGCTCTTCCCAACACAGATGAGCTGAGCTGAGTTCAGCGTCTCCCTGGATTGCCTCAGATTATGAGGTTCACCCCCCAACAGAGCAGGAAGGCTTCCTTCAGTGGGAGAATGGAGGAGCTTCTATCTGAGAAATGTCACCACACAAGAACGAATTTCTGCTGGAGCGAGACTTTTCTGAATTATTTATCTGTATTGTTGAGGTAATTCCCCGTTAGGAGAATGAGCGCATACAGGGAGACGTATTTGAGAGGAGTGTTTGAATAATACACACACAGCACACAGATACACTGTACAGTAAATGTAGGTTTTTACTTCAATAAAGGTTTAAGCAAAGTCCAAAATAAGCAATCCAAAGTCATTCACAGGTAAAATCAGTCAGTTTTCATCCAGGAATAATACAAATATCTAAGTCCAGTATCAAAAACAGTTCAGTATCAGACTTACATTAAATCCAGTAATATCCATCAATTAGAAGAAATGGAGCAACGGCAATACTTTCCAACAGAAGGAAACAGAGATACACTCACACTCTCTTCTAAGACTCGGACTAAACAACCCAGGTTTCTGGCTCCATCTTCTGGCTGTTTGAGAAACCACACCTAATTACAGTTTTACATTTTCTTAAAGATACAGTTTTAAAATGTTTATCCTGGTTTATATATTTCTAACCCAAATACCTGTTAGGTGACTTATATTCCTAACATGTATACCAAACTATAAATTGATCTCATGGTGGTGAACAATCCAGATAAAAATGAGAAGAAAAACATGTTTGAAAATCATCAGCAATATTTCATCCATGCACTAAAACCATCTTGGGAAATTGCTGGAGGGAAATAGTGTCATTCGCACCCAACCCCGGAAGGGCAGGGGCAGCGTGTATTCAGCTCCTGGTTTACAAGAGCTCCAAGGGAGGGCAGCAAAACCTGCGTGGGGGGTGTGAGCAGGATCTCTGCAGGCTGTCCCTGGGAGCTGGGAAGGATGGGCTTTGGAGCAGCTGTGCCTGACCCCGTGTCTGTTCTTGATTCCCCAGGCTTTCCAAAACACAAGTTGGCCAAAACGTTTTGTATCCTTGATGTTCAGAAAGTCATCCTTGCTCAGGTTTATCCTGCTTGGCCGGCCCTCCTTGCTGCTACATATCATCACCAGGCCAAGGTGCAAATCGGGGGTGTGTGTGTGGACACTTGTGGGTCTTCCTGGCCCACTGGTGGGTCTTCCCCATAGAGGCCACTTTGCGCAGCACAGGTGGGGCAGAATGGAAAGTGGCTGCCACAACTTGCCAAGCGAGCAAAGACAGTTGATCAGCCCTTCCACCCTCCCTCTCTTATGCTGCCGGTCCCTCTCCTTTGCCCAGAGCTCTCGTTTTCTCTCTCTCTCACACACGCACACACACACACACACGCACACCCCTCGCCTAACAAGATGCCTTGAAGCGAGGCTGCAGTACGGCAGCTGCTGCGAGGGCCAGCTGGCCCTTGAACCCGGGCAGGGTCCATTTCCCGCCTGTCCTCCTGCAGCCGTCTTATCTCCTGGGAATGCTCTGCCTGGAAACGCTTCAGAGTTGCTGGCCCTGATGGGGAAGAGAGCCTCACGGTGGCCCCCCTGCCAGCCTCTCCTGGGAGACGGGACGTACCCCGCAGGCTGGCTGAGCAAGGTCACCGCTTGGGGCCCTTCCTTCCATGGCAGCTCCTCTTTCCCAGGGGTGGGATTCAAATTTTTTAACCAGTTCTGTGAGTGTGGCTAGGTGGGCGTGGCCATGTGACTGGGTGGGCGTGGCTTTTGTTGTAGTTCCCACCCCCTGGTTTTTTGCCTCCTGAGCCTCAGGGAAGCCTCTTGGGGGGTATTTTTTGCTCCCAGAAGGCTTCCCAGGGGCCCAGGAAGGCAAAAAATGGAGCGGGGGGCGCGCAGCACACACCCCCTGCCCCCCCCCGTGTGCCCCTTTTTGTCTCCTGGGTCTCAGGGAAGCCGCCTGGGCAAGCAATAAGGCAGCAAGGGGACTCCGGCACAGCTGATCGTCGGAACAGCTGATTCTCAGGAAGGGGAAAAAAA